TGGGTAGGTCTTGATGATGAGACCTGAAAATGATTAAATTTTGGACCCCTAGCGGCTTGTTATGGTACTGCAGCTGAACTCCCGGTTTTGATATCTCATGATCTAGACGTGCTAGGCTGACGAAAGTTGATTGATAGGTAGTTCTTGTGCTGGGGGAGAAGTGATGTGAGTTTGAGCCCCTTATTATTAGCTGCTTGCTCTGGAACTGCAGGGCTATCTGTATAAAAATAGTCAAAAGAGGATAAGTACTCAAGAACCGGTTGACGGATCGACGTGATTTTTGGTATGTAGGTAGTCAGTGCACTTGAACTAGCGTGACGTTGCACTAGTAAGCAAATCACAAAAAGGGTTAGGAGTGCCTATATTTGGATGAACTTGAAAGGAGCAATGACATATTTCTTTGTGATTCTTCTAAGAAGACAGGATGGAGGCACTATGCTTTAGTGAACATGACTGGGTGAGAAGGATTCGCGCTCCAACAACGCGTGAATCCTTCTCTCCGCGGCAAAAACTCCCTCGGCAGCAAATCGTCCCTCCGCGGCATATTACTCGCGTCGCTCACAGAAAAAATAACGCCGACGCCCAACAGGTCTGCGAAGGAGGCTATGATGTACCTGGTATTGTTTTGAGTCAACTTGCAAACGTGCGATTTTGTGGGGTCATGTGGATTAGGGACAGAGCGTTTGGCTCGAAATCAAGAGGTCTCGAGTTCGAATCCTGCCATGTCATGCCACCGATCTTGTGCACTTTATCCGAATTTCCTCACTTAACTCAGGTGAAAATGTGTATGTCTGTTGTCCCTATATGCGCTTGTCTGCGTTGGTGGTGGCAAAAATAAGAAAAAAAAACTTGAGTGTGCCGTCTTCTGCTCATGCCAACTTGACGAAAATAACTTTCTTCTGGGAAGACGGAAATCGGCGCTACACACCTGCGATTCTGACATCATATAAATTTTCCTGTGTAAATCGGTGTGTGTGTGTGTATGTGTGTGAGAGAGAGAGAGAGAGAGAGAGAGAGAGAGAGAGAGAGTGTATGTGTGTGTGTGTGTGTGTGTGTGTGTGTGTGTGTGTGTGTGTTTGTCCGTCTGTGGACACGATAACTTGAGAAGGCTTAATGGATTGTCTTGATATATGGTACGTGGGTAGGTCTTGATGAGACCTGAAAATGATTAGATTTTGGACCCCTAGTGGCTTGTTATGGTACTGCAGCTGAACTCCCGGTTTTGATATCTCATGATCTAGACGTGCTAGGCTGACGAAAGTTGATTGATAGGTAGTTCTTGTGCTGGGGGAGAAGTGATGTGAGTTTGAGCCCCTTATTATTAGCTGCTTGCTCTGGAACTGCAGGGCTATCTGTATAAAAATAGTCAAAAGAGGATAAGTACTCAAGAACCGGTTGACGGATCGACGTGATTTTTGGTATGTAGGTAGCTCACTGTATATGCTTGATATATTATGTCATGATGCTTGATATAATTATGGGACAATTATGCAAATATGGGTGTAATTTGCATAATTTATGGGGAATTCCATAAATCACCTGCATTCCAGGATCAGACTATTGAAGCTTGTGACATTGGTAATTGGGTAGGAGAGAAACACAGGCAGGTATTGATTATGTAAATGAAATTTGCATAATTAATAGGAAAACTTTATAGTTATGTAATGATAACTGACTGGAATTTCATACTTGTGGTATTTGAAAGTTCAGTAAAGGTGAACATCATTAAACATAATGTATTAAAATCAGGACCTCATTTGCATGATTTATGATGAAATGCTAGAATGGCATTGTTTGTTAATATAAGACTGTCTTTTGGTTGAGAATATGATAAATTGATATAATTCATGAAAATAAAGATCCTATTTGCACAATCAGGGGGAAATAATCTACAAATTGACAGCCATAAAGATTAACATCATTTGGCGAAGGTATGAGATTGAGGAACTCTAGTATTATTACATATTCCAACATTTCATGACTAGACATGGTGACGGCACATATATAAACTTATTTTATGCGGCACCACCGAAGAGGACAAATACAGAGGACAGGACAGTATACTCATTTGACTTGAGTTATAAAGTAAGTCGTGTAAAGTAAAGTGCCTTTTCCAAGGGCACAAGATCAGTGGCAGGTCAGCAGGACTCGAACCCGGGACCTCTTAGTTTCGAGTCGAGCACACTGTCGTTTCGACACCCGACCCCACATTAACTATTGAGGAATAGAACCTCACAACGTGCCACAACAATCAACAAAAAAAACATTTCCTTCTATTTTTCTAAGCCTCATAACACCAAGTTCCTACATATGTACAACACTGTGTTTAGCGAGAACTTACCTTGCACGCCCCGATGTAGGCTATTCCCTTGGCTCCTCCTCCTTCTAGCACGATGTTCTCGAAAGGGAACTGTCGATCAGCGAAGGAGCTAACCTTCGTCTGCGGGAGTTTGGGTCGTGGAGGCGGTGACTGTGTTTGTCCCATGCTGCTTTCCTTAAAGATAAAAAAAAAAAACATCGTTGTCTTTTGATTGGGTAACACGGGTAGAGGGTACGTAAGGAAATTGTATGGTGGGGATATTAGAACTTATATGAACGTTATGAATAAAGTTCCACAATACAGCATGAAGGTGTCAAACACCTCTCATGGGAATACCGTGGCCGACAAGAACAAAATTTTACACCGCAACTTTTGGTGTTTTACACCGCAACTTTTGGTGTTTTACACTGCAACTTTTGCTGTGTTTTACACTGCAACTTTTGCTGTGTGGAAAACTTACACCCCTCCCCTTTTATAATGGACGGTCCCCCTGTCAGGTCAAAGGTGACAACGATGGCATGCAAACTACGTCGACTGAGTTATCCTTTTCGTGCATAAGTTTTTTAGAGGAAAAGCTTGACTACGTTGTGACGTTAGTTTTTTTCTAAAGGTTTTTCTAGCTTTGGCCTATAGATCGGGATAAATTTAAAAATGTTTCGACCAGGTCCAGTGATTACAAATTATGTTGCTTTTTGCTGCCATGCGTCACAACAAATTTATCAAGGACGTCAGATATCCAGCTCCAGACATCAACAGCAAATGACAAAATTTTCTGCAGGTTAGTTCATTATTATTGGGTATGGACATCGTTTT